CAAATCAGTTGAAGGAAGTTCTTCTTTTAAATAGGAAAAAAACACAAATATTTGGGTTTTCTATTAGAAAAATAAAATATTTTTATTTTAAAATATTTGGAAAAATACTGAGAAGCAAAAGATAAAGAAAAAAATAAACTCTAGCCCTGCCATCCAGAGAGGAAAGACTTAACATTTTGTTATATTTCTACCTAGTGGAAAAGACTGTCTAAGGTTAACAAGAATGATGAGGAGAATAATTAATGGGAGAAGGAGGGAGAGAAAAAGAAAACCTTTTCATCTGAGAAATGTTGGCAGAAAAGGGTCCTTGCTAGGTGGATCAGAAGATGTCTATCAGAGCGCCCAGCACCTTGAGCAGATTTAACAGGGAGTCAGGTGTGAAGCTCATTATCAAAGGGAGGGAGCAGACCTTTTCCTTTCCCCCTGAACCTCTGATCTCCTTCATTAGGACGTCCACAAAGGTGCCAGTGGTAACACTATATCTTCACCACAAATTCGGACAAGACACTGAAAGGTCAAGTGTTCATTTTCTGTCACGACCTGCCAGTTGCAGATGCATGATGATTTGAGAAAGTCTCCACAACCTGCCCAGTGTGAGGCAGGTTAGAGAAATCTCCTAAAGGCACAAGGGAAGAAGTGCTGTCCAGAGAGAGGTCTATGAGAGGAGTGTATAGCATTCTCCTCACAGCTCAAATGCCAAGTGTCTGGGTCATAAGTGGTAATCCTTGTGGCTGACTAAGTCTGGATTCAAAGCTCGGGCAGAAATGACCTCAGTCCCTGTCAGCCCCACACGTGATCTGGGGAGGCCAGTTGCTGATCGGGGCACAAATGTGGCCATCTGGGCTCCCCACCACAAACCAGAGTGGCTCGAGTGAGCACAGCAAATAGCTCTCCTATTATTTCAGGATGTTTATAGATTGATGTTTGCTGAGGAAACATCCACACACGAGCAAGTCATCTTTTTTTAAAAACCTCTTATCTAAACACAGGCATGAGCAGTCATACAAAGCCACAACAGGGTTTACTAATTTAAAGTGCATTTCCTGAGTGGCTAGGACATAACTGTACAGATATTCAGGGAGCCTACTCCCATCCTAGACACAATGCTGGGGATTCAGCATGGCACAGAACCCAATTCCACTTTCCAGGGATTTGCTGTCCAATGAGAGAGATGGGCACCTAAAATGGAAGAGTAATGGCTGGCTTAAGGTGGGAGCAGGGCTCCAGATTAAAATCGGTATAAAGAGACTAACAACCAAATGCAGCCTACAGACTTTGTCTGGATCCTGATTCGAACAATCAAGGGTATCTGAATATAGACAGATGAGACCAAAATATTGCTGTTAATTCTGTGACATGGAATAATGGCCGTGTGGTATGAAAGAGACCATGCTTTCTCAAATAGATATACACTGGATTATATAGGGGCAAAATGACATGCTGTCAGAGATTTGCTGTAAAGTATCTCAGGAAGAAAGAAGAGAAGAAATGAGAGGGGATGGGGAGGAGGGAGAGAGGGAGGAGGCCAGCCTGGCATAATCTTGATGACTGTTGAAGCTAGATAATGAGTATATGGGGCTCGTTATACTATTCTAATTTTCTGTGTGAAAATGTTCATAATATTTTTAAACAGAGAATTGCAATACATCGCAGTGGCATCCTAATGAAGACTGGCATAAAGGTTAAGGGAAAACAAAGCAAAGAGCAAAGAGAATTTGTGAGAACCAGAAAATAAATCTGCCAAGTTTAGGAGTGTTTTAAATGACATTTTATAGTGGGACGGAAAGACATATTGACACATAATTGCAGCAGGTCCTTGAAAAACATCATTTTGTTCAGCCTCGTTTCATTACAACATTGATGAGATGCCATAGGAACTTAACTCTTGCTAATATCGATCAGTCTATGGTAAATTGGTTTCACTGTACATCATTTCATTAAAGTCACAGAACCTACTGACAACATCAAGTGAGGACTTACTGTACAATATAAGGTAAGGGTTAGTAAGCACAGCAGGGGAGCTGCACACACCACGTCTCCAGATTTCAGAAGATGACCACAAGGTTTTCCGGCTTCTCTTAGTGTTTAATTCACCACACAGACCTCGCTCAAGCAGACAAGGCCAGACAAAGCCAAGCTTAGTTGCTACTAGCTATGCGATAGGGGCAAGTCTCAGTTTCTTCATCTGTTAAATAAGAATAGCCCCACCTACTTCTTCAAGGGGCTAATGTGGGGATCTAATGACATAAAGAATGAAAAGTCCTAGAATGATGAGCAATATTCCATTCCCTGGCTCTTTAAACACCAGAGACCCTTAGCCCTGGGAGGGCTTCGAAGATTAGCAATGTTCAGTCCAAATCTTCTTGCCTCCATACCCCACACCTCCCTCCAGAGTCAAGGAAGACAGGCCCTATACTCCTCAGTAGTAGGAAGGAAAGGGCCAGGCCCATGACTGAAAGGCACACCCAGATGGGGGTGTAGACATGGGTGGAGAGAAGAGAGACAAACCTCAATGCTAGGCAGAGAGGGATTACCCCAGCTGTTCTGCTCCTTGCAGTTCCAGGGAATAGGCCTCCAATGACAACAGCTACAACCAGCCTTAGTCCTTAAGTTGCTAATGTGTAACTGGCTGGGTTATTAAAATGGTCACGGGATGTAAAGCACAGCATAGGGAATATAGTCAATAATATTGTAAAAACTATGTATGATGTCAGATGGGCACTAGACTTATTGAGGTGATAACTTTGTAAGGTACATACATGTCTAATCACTAAGTTGTACACCTGAAACTAATGTAATATATTGTAGGTCAATTAATTGAAAAATAAATTTTAAAAAAGCCTTTTATAAGCTTGCCACCCCTAACACACACACACACACTTTTAGTCTCAGGCCCCTCCCAGGAGGTATAAATGAACAAATGAATGAATGAATAAATAAGATGTAACTGGTTGGTATTAAGCTGATTTTTTTTTTTTTTTTTTAAAGAGAGAAATGAGCAGAAAGTCAGAGCCCTGGGCCTGAAGAAGGAAGGAAGTATGGATAAAAACGATATCTTTTTTTATTAAAGTATGCTCAAACTGTAACTCTCAATCACTGGTATACTGGTAACCATATCTGGTATACTCCAAAAAAATAAACAAAACTTGAATCAGTCCTAAGGTAGCGGTTACTTCAGCTAACACAGTTCTCCTAGACCATTCCAGAAGTCAACTGTCAGAGGTGAGACCAAGTTCATGACAGAGGCAAGCTTTCTCCCCAAATAGCACCCAAACTACTGGCAGTCAATTCGCCAACCCCATCATAGCATGAACAACACCAGCCATCACCCTTGACTGGTGCACAAGGTGGGCAAAGGGTCTGCAGATTGAATAACCTGGGCTAACCTGGGTTAGTTCAAGTGCTTTACCAAAGAAGCGTCCCCTGAATTTTTAGACAGAATCTTTTCAGAGACTAGGAGTCTCCAGTCAGCACAGAGTAGGACCATGATTCTGCAGTACTACACATCACTTTCCACAGCCAGGGGCAATGGTTAGAGCACTGGACTTAGCTCTGGCAAAGCTAAGCCCAGTTTAAATTCTGGTTAAGTCACTTTCTGTGTGATGGTTGGCACTTACCCAACCTATGTCTGTTTTCCCATCTCTTAAATGAGGAGAGCAAAACTCTTTTGAGTTTTGGGAGAGTAACTGTGAAATTAGCTGCAAAAGTGCCACAAGGAAGGACTTGTTCTCCAGTAGGCACTTAATAATTATCTATCTAAAGGTGAGTTCTTACTGTCATTAGAGTCTCCAGAGCATCAGGTGCGCTGCCTTGGAGACATGAGGCCCACTTGTTGGGTTTACTTCCCCGGGAAGAGGACGGGAATAGAGCTGGCGCAGGTGCCAGGGCATCCAGGCACGCAATATCGCAAATATCAGAGGGGCCAACCTGCCGCTGGCTTTCTTCCCTCCGGACCTACCCAGAAGGGGGCGGGTTACTGACTTCCACCCTTCACCTAGACCACCGAAGACTAGTGAGTAGGCATGACCTACCGCAAGAGGGTCCAGTCCCCAAGCAGCTGAATGCCCACCCTACCTTACCCCCGCAGCTCCTGCCGCGCCTTTAAATAAAAGCTCTTTGGCTTTAAGAACCCAGGCTTCAGAATAAACAATGTGGAAGGAGACACACGTTTACTCTGGTTTCAACACGCCTCTTCCCCATCTAGCAAAGGCCATTCCCAGCTCTGCCGCAAGGCTGGCCTAGGATAAAGTTAACCCCATCTGCTCCGACCTGGAAGCCAGGTCAGCGGCGGCAGAAGCTGCGAACAAGACTCCACTTAACCCCAGGGCCAGGCGGGCAACAGCAAGGTGGGCGTCGCGGGCGCCCCGGCACAGGTGCTCCCGGTTCTGGGGTGACCGCCGGCTGCTGAGGGGTGCGCGGCGCCGAGAGGATAGCGCCGCGTCCCCTCCAGCCATCACCACAGCCCCGGCCCCAGACCCGGTCCCAGGCAGAAGGCGGCCACGCCATTGACATTTGGCCCAACTTAACTTCCTGTTGTTAAGGAGGGAGGGAAAGGGCGGGGGGCAGTGAAAAGCCAGGAAAGAACGTGAAAGGCGCGGAGCCCAAATCGTGGGAAGCAAAATTTGAGGATGATCTTCGCCACTGTGGCAGGCAATACTTCTGGCGCATCGCGCCCGCTCCCTGTTGACGTTTGGGGTATTCTCTGGGCTAAGAAATGCCGGGTTTGGGTGTTGAGCGGCAGAGTAAGAGGTAGTTTGGGGTACAGATGGAAGGCTTTTATTGCGTTCTAATCCGTTCAGAGACCGATCCGGTAGCCCCAGCCTCCCGGGTAACGCCACCTGCTCGCCGGGCGCCGGGCCGGGTGGGTTTGAGGCGGGAGATGCTGCGGCCGCACCTGACCCTCCCCGGCACCCGCCAGGGACTCCAGGCTCTGCCAGCACGATTCCCACCTGCGCCTGCCTGCCCGCCCTCCCCGGAGCCCTGCGCGGTCCCTGCCTTACCGAGAGCCGCGCTGGCCACTGAGCCTCGGGCCAGCTCCTGCCTTCACCTCGGCCGCAGGCGCAGCGGTTGGGACCCGCAGGCCGCCTGCGGAGCTGGGAGAGAGCAAGGCTGCCCCGTGCAGGCTTAGCCCGGCAAGCTCCCGCAGTTGTGCGCCGCGAGGCCAACCAGGCTGGAAGCCGCCCCCATTGGCTGCGCGGCCAATGACAGGGAAGCCGGGGGCGCGGCCCCGCCCGGCCGGAGGGCTGCGACCAATAGTGGCGCAGCGCAGTGCCCACCCCACCCCCGCTCCGGGCCAGCCCCGCCCCTGTGGGGCCAGCTGTCACCGCGGCTGCCGCGGGCGCACGTGGGCTGCAGCTGCTCCACGAGCTCGGGGAGCGGCGGGGTGCTCACACCCTGACCAGCAGGTCCGAGATCAGTGGAGGGCCAGGGGGAGGCGGGGCGTGGTGATTCTGCGAGAAAACCCAGGTGCTGGTATTCTACTGTAAAGGGAGAGGCAAGGGCTGGGCCTCATGCTCCTTGGCCTAGGCAGCTGGAAAGCGAGCCTCATCGTTCCCTTTTGGCCTTGGAGAAGCAGCACAGCACTTCTAGTATCGGCTGTGCACCTCCCTCCTTGCTTTGCCTCTTGACCACCGTGGGCTTCAGAGAAAACCCTGCCAGCTCATAGGCTCTTCCCCACACCTGGCCTGCTTTTGCTTAGAATAAAGCTGGTGGGAAGAGGGGTAGTGGTACAGAGTACCTATGTTACCTAAGAACACTCTTCTCTTAGCTGTCAAATGGCTGCCTTAATCTCTGTTCTGTCCCTGCCCGGGTTGCCCATACCCCCTCCAGTTGCCCATATCCTCCAGGAGCACCATTCACTGAATGGTGTGAAGCAGCTTTGCAAACTGTAAATACTGCAAACACTTTGCAGTGACCATGAAACAAGGATCCCCTGGGCAGGAGTCATGCCTTGCTCACCTCTGAGGCTCAGGACCCATCACGGACTTGGCACGAAGTAGGCATCAATAAATGTTCTTGGAACTGAGTTGACTCAGAGAGAGGAGAATAGGCAGGCTTGGGCAGTGAGAAAACAGTACTGTGGCTCCAGGCTGCTGGAATTTCCACAGCACCAGACCACCCTCTGGAAAGACTATGCTCCCTTGCCAGAAAAGTAAAAGCAGAGCAGTTTGCTCCTATCAAACCTGGGGCTTGTGTTTTTTTTCTTTACTCCTTACCACATGATACTCTCCAGGCCTTTTGGGTTTTCCCAAGGATTGCCCTACCTGGAAGCTCTCTTAGCACCTTCAGCGTTTAATCATCTTCCTACAGATGAACTTTCAGTAAAGCTGTCCTTGCTCCGTTTGCAAGACTCAGACAGCAGTGACTCGCAAAGGGAAGCTCTCAACTCTGATGGAACTCTGCTTGTGATGCCAGTCGATGGAGCGTTCTGTATGCATTTTGTCTCATTTAACCCCGACAATGGCCCTGTAAAGCATGTATTATTATCATCCCCTTTTATAGCTGTGGAAACTGAGACTCAACAAGGCAAAGTAACTTGTCAAGGTCACATGGTTAATAAGTATCAGAGTCTGGATGTGATCTCAGAGCTATCTAATTCCGGAATCTGCATGTTTAACCACTGTGCACCCAGGCCTCAACAGCCCTGCACATACTTCTAGAGCACTGGACAGGCCAGGTCTATTACTGAAAGAACTGCTCTGGGGCCTAACCTGCCCAAGCGCCCAGGCCTGGGCACTTTCAGAGATAGGAGATGAGACCAGCATGGCCCTGCCTTATTTACAGTGATGTAAGAAAGCTGAGACAGAGACGAGCTTCAGGAAACGGGGTTACCTCTGCCCCCAGCACAGAGCCTCACTGGACACAAGGCCTCTAGCTTCTGGCCAAGGCCTAAAACTCTCATGTCAGGGATGGAGATAGAGACAGGTCATTCATTCATTGCGCAAATGCTACTGTAAACTGGATGTGATTCCTGCATTTGTGTAATTTATAATGCAGCTGATAAATCACCAGAAGTAATGATAATTACTAAAAACCTAATAATTATGATGCTACTAATAATCTAATTATCTAATTATCAATAATATTTACTAATATTTCCACCACCTTATCTGTAGCACAATGTTCTCCAAGTTAAACAAATGTAACACTACTTCAGAAACACTGTAGGTCAACCAAGTTTTATAGAGATAGCATTGCTCAGCACGGAAGTTCTAGTAACTCAAAAACTAAAATTTATCAATGCATTCCTAGGACCTCTGCCTTCTCTGCCTCATCCTGCTCTCAGCCTTTTTAATTCGGGGAGCTTAGGTAAGAAAGACCCTTGCTAGGTGGGTCTCAGAGCTGAGGGGTGAGCTTTTCCTTGGATAGACAGCAAGCTGGGAGCTGATGGCGGGTAACTGCATGGAGAGAGATAAGCCTTAGGACCTCTTGAGTCAGTGGTCAGAGCCCCTTACCACCACACTCAAGTCACCTTTGCTGGCCATCTCCCTGGGAGGCGGAGAGGAATAGAGACAGGAAGTTACAACTCTCCCTCCTCCGGACAAAGCAGTAACCATGGGCTATCCTGCTGTACTCCGACTGTGTGGGACTTTATTCAACTAAGATCCTCAAAGAAAAGATTATATAATGTTAGAACAGACCTTAAAGGAAATATCTAAGCCCCTCACTTAACAGATTAAAGAAATAAAAAAATAAATAAATGGAGCTCCAGAGGTAGAAAGGCACTAGTGAGCATCACAGAATGTGGGAGTGGGTTCCAGGTCTCTAACGCGCCCGACTCGCTCTTAGCATGCCAGGCAAACCCAACCTCCTTATGCTGCAGCTCAGTATTCTATATTTAATAATAATCTTTTCTCTAGCCCACTCTTCTAGGATGGTGAATGTATGCTTGTGAAGGTTGTCTGGGAGATGCAGATGGCCACATTAACGTCAAAGGGAGGGGGAGAAGGAAGAACCGAATTCATCCCTAAAAATATCTCCATCTCAGACAGGAAGCAATGGGTCTAAACACCGCCATACGTGCCCACCCCTGAAAGAACTGAGTGGTAATCTCCATCATCACTGATTATCTACCTGCTGGTATACCAAGAGGGGGCTGCAGGAGTGTTAGGCCTGGCTTCTTTCTATTTTTAGCCCTGCAGTTTGCTTGAAGAAAGGTCACAGTTGAACTAAGTGGATTCCTGATACAGAGATTTTCTGTAGAGAAGCCAGGGTGCGTCTCATAGAGTTTGAATGGCAGGGAAAAGAGTTACCCCCTGTGCTTTCCCCTCTAAATGAAAAAGGGTCTGTGCCCTTGGAGCTCTTCCTCACCAGCAAATGTTCCAGGAAGGGGTAAAGTAGTGAGTATGGTTCCCCAAGCTGCAATCGAAGGGCTTTGAGCTTTCAAAAGGAAGAAGAAGGCTGATATCCCTCATTAGACCCCAGACCATTCACTGATACCTAAACGAGGAGAAAAGGCTGATTGCCCCACGCCACCTTGGGAACTATCTTTGAAGAAGAACTTTGTAAGCCAGGAAGTAGAAATATTTGTACCTTCCGCAAGCAGACTCAGGAATGTGTGAGAAGCAAGATCCCTGGGGATCTGTTCTGGACCATTATCATCCTGATAGGCCTAAGAATGCACTGTTTTTCATGGATAAGACATAGAAAAGTGTTCAAGGTCACTAGGAACTCATCAGACCAACCACACTTACAGTGGATTTTCCAGAGACAGATTAGGGAAGAAATGGCACCTGTCAAAATCAGTAATGCCCTTGGAGGCACCGCAGCACTTTGGAGAATGTGTGCACGTTGGCAGCGATGACAGGAAAGTCAGTGCTGGAGAGTTGAGGCCGCAGGCAGAAGGTGATGTGCCAACCTGTGCAAATAGGGAGACAGAGAATGGATATGCAGAAGGACAGAAGATGAGACACAGGGTCATGAAAGTAGCCTAGCCTCAGCCCCAAACAGCCTTGTAAGATACACACATACACACTCAAAGCCAACTGAGAAATCCAAGAGCATAATTCTGGTTTCTAGAGACACGAGAGACTAAACAACGCCACGAAAACCATTGTACCCTCATGGTGGGCTGGGCCACACCTATAGCCCAGGCAGACTCCTGTTCAGGCAAACCTGAAGCCCAATCTAGAACCTGAAGCTCATTCTGTTATTGAATGAAACTAGGGAGGCAGCTCTCAAACCCTCCACAGAGTAGCTGCCTAGGGGCAAGGACAGGAATATACTTCTCTGTTCTAGCCCATAGAGAGGACAGCTCAAGCTCATCTGTCTATCCATCCCCACAAATATGTACAGGTCAGTAATTCTAAGAGATATCATAGCTGAGTAGTATAGACTCTGAAGTCAAGATGCCTGAGTTTGAATCCCAGCTCTACTACTTACTTACTGTATGACCTTGGGCAAGTGACAACCTCTCTGTGCAGCGGACTCCTTACCTGTAATAGGGGCACAGTAAGAGAGAGATATGTGTATAGAACAGTGCCTGTTACATAGTATATGATACATAAGGGGTTTTGAATTAAATAAATTGGGGGGCTGATATTAATAGGGGCATAAAGAATTAGAGTCAATGAGGCATCATTTGAGCAACTCCCACCACTAAACTTATGTGTGTATCTCTCAGCCGCAGAGAAGCATACTATTATTGAGGTGCATACTATTATCCCACACACCTTAGAGAAGAGAAAATGGAATCTTGGAGAAGTGAAGTCACTTGCCCAAGGTCTCCTAGGAGCCAGCACATGGCAGGGTGAATCTGACTGGCTGACTCTGGGGCCTGTGTTCTTCACACCCTCTTGGCTATGAGACTGGGCATAGCTTCCAGGCCTAGATGACCATATAGCCCCAGGGGTGATCAGTCCAACGGAAATGCACATGGTCCAAGCAGCTCTCTTCTTCAGGATCAGCGCTTAGATATTCTAGTGAGAGAAGCTGTCTCTTTCTATGGAAGTCAGAGCTACTAGTAAATGTGTTCCACAGGCAGTGGAGGAGATCTGGACTCAATAAGGAAGAAGGAGACTCCTATGACTGAGGAGTCCAGAGGTAAATGCCACAGCTGCCTCTCTTTGCAATTCTCTTGGCTCTGCCCTCCTCTGTGTTGGCTTTGTCTTCAGGCTGGTTTTCCTCATTGTAGCCTGTGCCAAGAGCTCTTGTTGCCACAAGCTACC